CAGGAATGTAAAGAAGTCCCATACAGAATGGAAATTTTGTTGCTGTGAGAATATTCACGCAAAAGAAATAGGAGAGGACTGTTAGAACATGTCAAAATACAACTCGCTATAGTCGAGGATTATTTGGTGCTCTTGGCAATAAATAATTGTGGCTGAAAGCTTACATGTCATTCAGACAAAAAGATAACTCACGTTAAATATAGATAGCATTAAGGTCCACATAATAGACCGAAACCTGATTCAGGAGGAAATTAAGAGGAAATTGAATTCGGATAATGCTTGCTACCATTCAGTCCAGAAACTTTTGTCTTCTCGTCTGTTGTCCAAAAACATAAAAATTAGAATATACAAAACTATAATTTTGCCTGTGGCTCTGTATGGGCGTGAAACTTGGTCTTTGACATTAAGGGAGGAACATAGACTGAGGGTGTTTGAGAACAGGGTGTTGAGGAGAATATTTGGAAGAAGGAGAAAACCACGTGGTATAGGGGTAGAGGAGGAGGGGGTAAGCTTTAGGAAAACGATAAGGGGTAGCATGGAAAGTATGGCTGGAAATCATGACGTCACGTGGTTCAGCACGGCTCGCAGCTTATGCAAGAAGGAAATAGTACAAAACAGAATTGAAGTTTATTAATACATTATATTTATTTACTTTTACTTATTATATCACCCAAGAAAAGATCTGGTGGCCTTACTTGACTTATTAACGTTGCCTCTTTGGCGATATCACATAATTACCTTCTACCATAAGTTTAATGTGTTCCTGCAAGCTCAGTCAGCATAGTAACTAGGCAATGTGTTAGAGGACCGGAGATATGCCGTTCAATTCTCGGCGGAGGCGGAGATTTTTCTCTTTACCACAACGTCCAGACGATCCGGGGACCCAGCTAGCTTCCTCTTCAAAATCCACTTTTGGCTCTTTCCCCGGAGTCAGACCGAACGGAGCGTGACGCCATCCACTAACCTCCATTTAAGAAAGGCTCATCTATACTTCCAGAATTAAGTCATGGCTGCTGATGGACAGTGGTACAAATACTTTATATATACCAATATTTAGGGCCTGCGCAACAGCACAGACGAAAACAAGAGTCCCCTGGGGCGGCATACAATTTTTCATTCTTGTTGCATAAAAATTTATTTCTGACTCTCTTGTCCAAGTCGTGGCTTTAACCTAAACGTGTGGCACTACAGTCTAAATAGACCAACAGTTACAAAGATGGCGACTTCGGTGAGGGTCACTGTCGTACAATATAGAATCTTTGCGTTACTGAAAAATAAGAATTTAGCCTAAAGAATGACTTCTTCTTGGATGTGGCGTCGTGTGGATCTTGGTTTCAACCCACGTTTTGGAGGAACATATCGTCTCCAGCTTTAGGACAGAAAATCCGTGATCGAAGAACCAGCTAGGTCAGTCACGTTGATTCCTCGCTCCAGAATTTTTCAACCCTGAAGATGGAGGCGATACGATCCTCCGAAACGTCGGTTAGAACCAGATATACACGGTGCCACATCCCAGAATACGGCATTCTTCACAGTCACCGCCGTGAACATCTCAGATCTTACAAAAATTTAATCTGTTTTCATCTAAGGTTATTAGAAACATTCCTTTTTTTCTGCAGACATTTAGGCTTGAACCCGTTCTGTCAGTGCTTATGTCTAAATACACTTTTGTATAAAGATTGAGCTGCGTATGAAGTATGATTTCATCCGACATGTACAGTTATCATTTTTATGAACCTTATTGTACTTGGTTGATGGGCTATGCTACAAGCCGAAAGGTCGTGGGTTCAATTCCCGTTGAGGTCATTGTATATTTTAATTGACATAATCCTTCCAGCCGTACTATGGCCCTGGGGTTCACTCAGCCTCTAACAGAAATGAGTACCAGGAATTAATTAAATAATTTTCCTGGGGAGTAAAGCGCGGCCGGCGCGTAAGGCTGACAACCTTACCGCCATCTATGAACCGATTGTCCAGATAATGTGGGACCCTCAATGTCTCACAACCCTATGGGCCTTCACGGCCTGTTACAGGGATACCTTAATCTTTTTTATTGCAGTAGGAACATTACTTGAATATTTACAGTTATAATTGCACATTTCGTGAGATTACTGTTAGAGCAAAACTAGCTGTGTACGAGTTTTTCTAATACCTGGTAAGAAATCTTCACTGGACTGACTTCTTCGTAATATGTTACTACATTGCACCCGAAGTAATCCTGATAGACCATGTGTAGCCTACACGCATGACAGTAGTGTCGGAGAAGTTGCCGGGTGTACACGGCGATCTCTGTTCTAGCTGTGATTCCCCAACTCGCTGTGATACACAAAACGGTCAAAGAACGAGAAAAGACTAGAACAATATATTCTCGTGGTAAACACAGAGTTTGGGAATGTGTCCTATAGAATTTTTCGTATCTAACTGCCTTTTATGCTCACTTATTGCAGAAACTAAATCGACTATTGCGATTAATTGCACTGATCTGAGACGGATATTTTTGGCATTTCGTTAAATATAAATTTCATATCATAATGTCTCAGATAAATGTTGGCTCCAATAAATCTGTATTTTATCTTATTTATAAATTGTTTTATGTGTTGAGTCGTTTTTGAGAAATGAGGTTTAAGCTCCCTAGGGGGAAAAAAAAGAGGTACATTGAGAAAACGTAGATCAAAATGAACTTCACCTGGCAATATTTAATGTCGAAAAATGCAAAACATGACTGAAATCCATTAGTAGGCTCGAAAGTAAATTTTGCGGGAAAGCAGAAAAACCTCTTACACTCTCTTATGTGAATTTCGAATCTAAGTTAGAGATTCGCCTAGCAATTTCGTGACTAGGTTCTGTCTCTCCGCAAGTAAACTCCTTAACAAACTGACCTATTTTTATGCAAATTTACATGATAGGTAAACATAAAGTTTTATAAACCAGTTATCTCATTACATAGTTATATTATTAAATGCCCGAAAAAAATATTAAAATGTTATTTTAAAAGTAAAATAACATTTTAATATCTTGTAACTGGCTTATAAAATTTGATGTTTATCTACCATGTAAATTTTCATAAAAATGGTTCAGTTTGTTAAGGAGTTTACTTGCGGAGAGACAGAACATAGTTACGAAATTGCTAGGCAAATCTCTAATTTAGATTCGAAATTCACATAAGAGAGTGGAAGATTTTTTTCACTTTACCTAATCCTTCCAGCCACACTATGGCCCTTGGGTTCACTCAGACTCTAACAGAAATGAATACCAGGAATTAATTAATAATTTTCCTGTGGAGTGAAGCGCGGCCGGCGGGTAAGGCTGACAACCTTACCGCTATCTTTGAGCTGATTGTCTAGATAATATGGGACCCTCAACGTCTCACAACCCTATGGGCCTTCACGGCCTGGTACAGGGATAGCTTAATTTTTTTTTAATTTTACTTTTAAATATCCAGGAATATCAAAATTTCTATTGAAATATTCGGTCAGGTACTCAATTCCTATGAAAATAAATACTTCGATTTACACGGCCATTTCCATAAGTGCAACTATGTCTGTATCGCGGTTGGCCCATAATTATTATTTCCTGTTTCTTCATTAAGTTGCGAACAATTGCTGTCTCCAAGTTGATAAAGAGAGCACTATGGTGTACGGAATATCTGCGTTTATTACGAAATCAGTTGGCGAAGCTGAAGAAAAGTTTCCAGATATTTATCTTGGAGTTGTTTTTGTTATTGCTAGTGGGATGGGACTAAGTCCCTTGTACTGCGGCCACTTCTGGCCTATTGTACCAGCCCCAGATGATAGGTGAGGGTGATTGTGGAGCAATTGGTGGAATGAAGATTGGCAGGGGAAACCGAAGTACTCGGAGAAAATCTGCCCCAGCGCCACTTTGTCCACCACAAATTTCACTTGACCAGACCGGGGATCGAACCAGGTCCGTCGCGGCGGGAAGCCAGCGACTAACCGCTTGAGATGGCGCGGCCTTGAGTTAATTGGTTATGAGAATCTGAGGGTTATACTTTTCTGATGAAAGGAAGAGGATGGAACTGGTTGAGGATGAATCAGGTAGCACGTTTTAACACTGAGCAGGCTACTGCAACGGTAGCGCTCCAGGCTTCAATTCGTAATTTGCTGTATTCGATTCTCTGTCGGGACATCGGATATCATGCCCAAGATTTTCATCGGTTTTCTCAGTCTCTCCGGGCAAATCAGACCTCGACTACTTCCTTTCATACCCCCTCGAATGCACATTTCTTCATTCGTACTAACATTCGACACTGTATAATCTAGATAATAATAGCGTCGTGAAATAATCCAAATAAACAAGCTAACAAAAAGCATGCTTTGGTATTTGGGGTTTTGAACCTGCGGCTTTTACACTTAATTCGCTTATTGGGGGGTGGAATCCAACTGGGTCCACTTGGCACGTCGGCCACTGATTGGCCTATTTTATCTGCCCCTGGTGATTATGATGATGGCAAATTTGGTGGAAGGAAGATTGGCAGAGGAAACCGAAGTACTCGGGGAAAACCTACCCCAGCGCCACTTTGTCCACCACAAATTCTACTTGACCAGACCCGAAATCAAACCCGGGCCGCCGCGTTGGGAAGCCAGCGACTAACCGCTTGAGCTATGGCGCGGCCAAGGATTACACTTAGATATTTCATTAATTATTTGGCGGAGGCGCGAAAACTCAGTAGTATGATTTCTTGGGGGCTAGAGGTCTTGGGCTAGTTTCCTGACTCTGTGTTGCGTTAGGCTCTTCATTAAGTGCAAAGTAAATGATCCTCACCTCTGTTTAATTCCAATTATATGGGGAAGAATGAACGTTAGTTCCATGCCTACTGTAAAACTTACGGTTTGTTTCTAAGTATAAGGAGAATTGTGCTTTTCGAGCGTTCATGTTGTTATTGTTGCTGTTTTTTGGGGTACCTTTGCGTTTCCCGCGTTCAACTATTTCTTCCTGCACCCACAAGAGGGCGCGAAGATCGGTGGCCATGGTACTGGCAAGCAAACATGGCCGTAGTAAGTAGACACTTGAGAAATTAGAAGACTGAATATGTAATCTGGTGGCAAGTGTTTACGTATGTTTTAAGAGTGTATAATGACGAGTTAAGACTTGTGACGTGCAGTCTGCACACGTCACGGCCTCATGTGCCTCACGAGAAGACTGCAACAAAAGACTGACTGTCAAGAAATAGCCTGAGCGCATCGTGCAAGACTGAGCAGGTAGGCTACAAGAAGGGTTGTTTTCATGGTAGTCAGAGGCGTGGCAAGGTCAGATAATACATATCTGGTTGGATTCTGTATTGTTTGATATAAGTCTGATGCAGTAGTAAACACGTCAAGCCATTCTGTGCCACAGATGAGTTGCCTTATTTGTTTATATATTCTTGCCTCTGTCATTCATGAAATTATTTACAAACATCCCAATTTAAAAATGTATGTGGCATTACAAGGGAGTTTGTGCATGCAGTTGAGTTTATAATAGACGCAATCCCACGTGGATTATGCAGGTGTGAGCACGAACTCAGTTACCACAATTTGATTTGGAGGGAAATGTTTAGAACTGAACCCTAAATGTATGAATGTTGACATTTATATTGCTGCGTTGCCTTTGTTATTTTATATTCGAGTTTTAATAAGTTATACAATATGCATTTTATCTGCACGAAGTTTTACCAAAAACCTGTGGCACATTTGTTCCTTCACTAATACGAGGGTCGCGTTGCTAGTGACTGGTGAACACTTGCATTGCTGATTTCTTTTTGAATCTTCACCTTGAAATTTTTGCTGAGTGGATGAGAATTCCAGATGCTTGGATACCAAATAAGAGTTTACTCCACTTTATTATGTTAAACTATGTCGGTTCCATGTGGCACGATTAACAGGTGTTGTCTGCATATTTTACCATTTTCATAACATTGGAACTGTGACATAGAGCAAGTAAATTCTCTCTACTAACTTGTTATGCACTGCATCAAGTTTATTTTTGACTTAATACTTTAGCAAGGCCTTATTATGTCGTCCTCTCTAGTGCTACTGTGTGACTGCTTCATCAGGCCAAAAGCAGGCAGGCATTAAATTGCATTACTGAGTCTTTGCCAACAAGGAGAAACAGTCAGCTTGGTTCTATGAAACTGACTTCTGGATATCTGAAGTCCATGGAAATTGAAATAGAATGAATCACCAGTATTTTGAGTATGCAATACAGTCCATCAGCATTACCACAGTGTTCTTATTCTGCCCCTTCTGCTGCTTCTTAGAGTAGTAAGGCACCCTTACTGATCTTCAGCCACACTGTCAACCATTGCGTCATGGTAATGCTGATAGCCAGTTCTTTATATCCATTAAATTAAAACAGAACATTTTCTGTGTCTCTTATCAGACACAGTATTTGTGGAGTTGCTGCTGGCTTTCACTGTTTGGTTCCCAACAATATTGTGTGCCTATCAGTTGCATATGTTTGTAGTTTGTCTGGTGTATTTTGTGAGCACTGTTTTTTTCTTGCTGGGCCTCTTGTTAAAAACTTGCGAGCATTAGAATTGTTGGAGTTCACTACTGAGAATTTGTAAATTAAGGTATAGTAAGCATTACGTGTGTGTAGTATATGTGGAATTGTTCACTGGGGACACATGATAGCGTAGTTGGTTGAGGCACTACGTTACGAGCCGGAAGGTTGCGGGTTCAATTCCTGATGAGGTCACTGGATTTTTCAATTGACATAAGGCTGACAACCTCACCACCATCTGTGAGCCAATTCTGTAGAGGAAATTTGGGAACCTTTACGTCTTACAACTCTATAGGCCTTTACAGCCTGTTACGTGGACAGCTTAACCTTTTATTGTTCACTGCATCAGATAAAATTAAAATTGAACTGATGGAATATCATTGCATCATTCATCATTAGAAGCTTCTTGGCAAAGGAGTGGGACGTACAGGAAATATGAACAGTGATGTGGGTGTAGTTAGTTTGTTAGATCAGTTGCGCTAAACCAAAGGAGTTCATGATATTCCTCCATGAAATCCAGAGCAGAGTATATTGCATTGGTCTGTATTGGTTTAGTACTGTGATTTATGAATAGAAGCTTTATCAGTTCTACTCCTTCTGCAAAATTTAGATGTCGTTAAGTTATCCAATTTATGATAAATTCTGAGGCTAATTGAACTGTTCCTTCCTTCTCTTCCTTGGTTGGTCTAGGACATGTGATATGTAATATGCCTGTGTTGGTAAATGTTCGGGGGTCATCTGTTCTGCATGCTCCTTCCAGTTTCCTTTGTACTGTCTAACCATTTTTATCATACTTTCTGTTTCTAGATGTTCTTGTATATTTGTAATAATTTTTGGCATAATGATATATAGCGAAGTACTAGTGAAAATAACTTATAATTTTGTAAGATGATTAGCTTCTCAACAGTACGCTGGTATCTGCATGAAAAGAATGAAAGTGTAGTAAGGTGGGAAAACCACAGATAATGCATTTAGAAAGCATGCATACTCAGAAGTGCAATACATCTTGTAATCTTGTCTTATTATACACTGCCGATATTGTAACGCAGTTTATAGGGCTTGTACTGCGAGGTCATATTGTGGGTAACTGTTTTGTAATGAAGTCCATTTGTGCAAGAATTAGTAGGTCCAAGACCAGAAACATAAATTCCAGTCTTATTCTGTGGACTGATTGCAAAGCGTATCTTACAGTTTAAGGAATGAACTGTTTTTAATGTTGTCTGCTGAAGTAACTGGGTGACACACAGTGCAGCATCTACCTCCATAGTAATTCCTACAGTAGATGTAAATTCTAAAGTTATAATTTCCAGATTTCAAGTACAACATTAGCTTATAATATTAATGCTTGGATTTTTTACAAAAACTCAGAATTGACTTTGAAACATGGCTTGCAGCAATTAGAGCCAGGCATATCCCTTCTGTGCCACATTGGGAACAAAAGCCTTAAAATTTAATGTATCATTCAGCCTTATGAGTGTAGGAAAAACGTCATTTCCTATCTCTGTGTGTGTTACTTTCTTTTTGAATATTTTAGTAGGGTTTAAATTGTCCTTGAGTGATGGCACGAGAATCATAAACATGTGGCAAGGACGTCAGAAAGTATGCAGATGTTCTCAAGCAGGCAAATGCTGAAAGTGTTCAGTTTCACCTGTGCTGTTATGTGTGATAAACTGCTTCAAGCGCTGTTGGCCATTGTGAGCTTGAAAGGGATGAGGAGTGTCACAGCAGACCTGAAAATATTATTTTTGGGTATGTAACGAAGCTCTCAGTACGTAGATTATATAGCGTTGAATGGATGGATGATAGATGAATGCTGATTTGGAAGGAGGCGGTAGTGGTCTAGTCGAGGCACCGTCCCGCCACTTGCCTGGGGGGCTGAGCAAAGCCACGAACACCCGTAATCAGGATAGGCGATGTCCTTGCCGAGATTCGAACTGAACACCTTCCGACTACACAAGTCAGGAGCGCTGTCACCGCGCATACCCGTTTAGTGGTGGAGAAGAGAATAGAACATAACTTAGGACTGTCTGAATTGAAAGATTTTTAGTTACTTTCGATGAAAGTGCATAAGTATTTGTTCTGAAACGTTTGTTCTTGTTCCCGTGCTTCACGAGTATGTAGTGCATAGAGTAACTCTTTTAAAACACGTTGGTTACTTATGTGCTAAGGCCGCGCCATAGCTGAAGCGGTTAGTCGATGGCTTCCCACCCCGGCGGCCCGGGTTCCATCCCGGGTCTGGTCAGGTGGGATTTGTGGTGGACAAAGTGGCGCTGGGGCAGGTTTTCTCCGAGTACTTCGGTTTTCCCTGCCAATCTTCATTCCACCAATTGCTCCACAATCACCCTCACCTATCATCTGGGGCTGGTACAATAGGCCAGAAGTGGCCGCAGTACAAGGGACTTAGTCGCACCCCACTAGCAATAAAAAAATACTTATGTGCTACATGTGAAACCGCTAATATTTCCCACAGAATTTGTTTGTAGTTTTTGTACAATTTTTAGACTAAGCAGTGATTATTTTACTAGAGAGTAGTAACCAGTAGGTCTTTGCAGTGTAGATGCAATGGTTTCTGTCATGTAGGAACTGAATTTATATCTACATGTTATTTATATGAGTTTCAAGCTACCCCGTTTGGAGGCGGGGTAGAATACCTCCACCGTAGCCCTGCGAATCGTAGGAGACGACGAAAAGAGGAACCCAGTGCCTGGGGGTATAACCGGGTCACCCTGTTCCTGGGTGATTTAAATATGGGGACCTGGCTCCCCGAGATTGAGGGAGTCTCGAATCTGAGGCAGTAAAATGTGGTCATGAGTCCCGCTGGACTCGGTCGTAAGAATGACTGCGCTGGCGAGGACCAGCAGCAATTGCAAACGACAGAACGATCCTCCCGTCAGAGATGATGTTACATAAGGACTATAGCCGCAAGTGTTCAGTTTGAAAATAGAAATTCTGGTCGTGGGTTTCAAGTGTCGCCAAGACGAACTGATTGGCGGTAAACCGCCGGTCGTAAAGCAAATCTGACTCTGGTTATGAGTTTCAAGCCAAACGTTTTAATCCAGATCAAGTGAAAATATCTCCCCACCACAAGTATTAAATTAGACATCAGAGTAGTATTTTCACTGTGTAAAAAGGAATTGTAAGGAATTTAATGCGCAAATTATTTAGGTTAGGTAGGTATTGAACATGGTTAGAATCATGATATGGAGACCAGTTTGTAACAAATAGCAAGATTATATTTAATTTCAATTTCTCGATCGAAATTCTAGCCAAGAATTAATTTATTATTCTGTGAAAATGGCACGTTGTTGTGTTAGAAATTGAAATGTCTTTCATGCAGCTTCTAGACTTCTATACACTGTTTGCAAATACATCACCATACTCGGAAGTTGAACTGTGTGTCATCTTGTAATCTTTGACAGCTAACATTGTTCATAACGCGACATGATCACGTTTAAACATGTGTCTGTACTACGCATGAGAGATAAAACATACAGCTGTCTTGATTTTCTTTCGCTGTTAGAGTATTAGCAAAAACTGTGTTTGTACGGCGCGTTGTACATGCCTGTAACAACACTCAGTATTTATGCTACGACGAATTGTATTCGGATATGGACTTCCACATCATTGGTTCAGTGTCTTCTTTAAAAAATTTACTGAACCAATTCTTTAATGCAGGGCTCATTGAGAACTTGATAGGATGGTTGTTCAGTTTGCCATG